TTAATTTATAAAACAATTCTAGTAGGAGATATTGAGATTTGACTTTCATCATGCCTTTGGAACCTCGTTGTTGAGAAACTACGAGTTGTTCCCTCCTACTAGGAACCTTCTACTCTTTATGTTCCTATTAAGATCAAGTTGGAACATTTTCCTTTGGTCTTTTCATCCATTGTATCTTTAGTAAAAGAACGTGTTGATTTAATCTCAAATTCTTCAAAACCTTGTCAAAGTTCCTTATATTTTTATTCAAAGATATAACCTGAAAATTCAAAACAAAAAATAATTCCTTTCGTGCTTTCAAAAGGTTAGTAGGTTAGTCAGAAGAGATAGAAAAACCCAAAAGCATAAAAAGTATTGGCGCATAGATTTCCTGTAAGAAATACTCCCTTTTTGGAACTTATACGTTTAACTCCTACATCACCTTGATATAGAAGCTTTGTTGTTCCTGTATCACTAATTCCTTTTAACATTCCAAGTTCACCAAGTTCCAACTAGTTTAAGCATCGAGTTCCTTAATGGAACAATCTCTTATGCACCGATTTATCTCAATGGTTAAACCTACAAAACAATCATTAATAACTAGCACAAAACTAGAAGAAAAATTAATTTATTATAGTATATATTATAAATTCAAAACAACTTCTCTTTTACATCCGTTTACAAGTAAACATTGAAAACATGGAATTGAATTTTCATAGGAATTTGTGAAGGATTAATGTATACTAAATATAAATGACCAAGTTTTATAGAGGCATGTAAAGGCAACTTATATATTTACCAGTACTAAAATTTCACCTACTACAAACCTCTTATAAAGACTTTTTTGTGATAGGAACTTGCGTATATTTCTTAATATACAGACGATCAGAGTATCATCGTTATTAATAGGTTGTCCCCACTCACAAAGCCTGAAAAATTAGTCACCTTTTGGCTTTGGTTACCCAATACATATTGGGTTCCTTCTTGTTAGTAATAGACATCAATAATCCATAATTGAAATAACTACGATTCAACCAACTATCTTTACTAACAATAAACATCATGCATCTAGATAATATATATTCACAATAATAAAGACACATGATAGAATCATTCTTTGGCAAATGTTCAATATATACATTCATTACCTTGCCTAACGAAATAAGTTCCCATTCAAGGTTAATCCAGGTTCCAAGAGACCAACTATGCATAATTCTACACAATAAGTTCCATGAATTATTTCTAGTAAACTAATTCTTTAATAATAAATCACTTTGTAAATCTGAATAATGTTTTTCAAATACACTCCAAAACAGATTTGAGGTTACACAAAATTGATTTAAGAACTTTAAAAACGAAATCAACGATTTAACTAGAAATACTGCAAGGAACTCGTACACATAATAACATGTATATAATAAAGAGTTCAAAGACGAGACACTTACCTCTAAGACGTTCATTTCTGAATTGCTACTGCTTTACAAGCAGATTTGGTCTTCACGTGATGTTCGGAACGTTCTAAGGCTGAGATCCTTTAGCTGCATACCTTGTAGATATCCATCCTAGCCTGGGATTTGCTCCTCGGGGGTGTTCGGTTCATCAAGAGCACCGGCTCTGATAATAATTGTTATTCGGATGATATACTACAAGAGGGGGGTGAATTGTAGTATGTTCCTTAGTGCCTAATTTTCCCGGAATATAAAACTAATTGATGTTAGAAACTTAGACAATGCAAAGCAAATTTTACGAGAAAACCTTCCAGGGCCCAACTGGAAGTAAAACTTTGACCCTCCAAGGGATTTGCAACTCAAACACTTCACTATAATAGGCCAAAATAATCCTAGTTACAACCTATTACAATCAGACCTTTCTCACAAGTTCCTGCTTGAACTTGCTGCCTAGTTCCTACCCGAAACTCACTAGGAATGTAATTGTTCCTCACTCAACTTGAATCCTTGATTCAAATCCCCAGTAGTACTCTCGGAGCACTACTCACTCGGCCTCACCCTTGAACCTCACACTCTGCAATATCTCATTACAATAACGAGATCTTAATGAACTCTCACACCCCAATACAATATACACTCAAACCCTTTCCACTACAAGATCTCATTGAATAACTCTAAATAAAAATATATGAATAAAGAGATAAAACTAATATACTGGACACTCGAGATCTAATTGGAACTAATAGGACGAACTGAAACCAAACCCTGAAAGGAACTTTGACCAGGATGGCTAACTTAACTTCGTGGTGAAGGATGAAACCATTAAGCACGACTTCTTCACTTCGTCAGCCTCAATTATGAGTGAATACATATGAGCGTATTTATAGTACACTCGAATGATTCTTTTCATAAAAGATAAGTTTTATCAAATGGTAAGTTAAAAAGAGATTTTCTAAAGATAAGTTTTCCAAAAATATATCTTTTTGTTAAGAATAAATTATGTCAATAATAACAAGATATAAATAACACAAAATCAGATTTTATTCAAAACTTATCTTTTTTGTTAAAATTCTTTCTAAACAAAATTATCTTTTTCTAAAAGGGATTTAATTGAAATAAAATATCTTCATTCAGTAAAACCAAATACCAAATCCTTGAAAGATATGCATGTACTAGGTAAAGATATATATCATTAAAACCGACTTTTTAAGATGTGCAGACTTAAGTTCCTATTAGGTTCGGAACTCTGACAGTTTATGAGTTCGTTACAGGTCAGTAACTCTAATTTCATTGACTGCCTAAAGTTTTTACATTGATTCCATAGACTTGTTCCAAATAGACTTTCATGCCCAACATACTTACATGAATACTAGAGCAAGATACTTCTATTTCTCCGTCATCATGTTGTTTCTCTAAACCTCTTGCTGTGGAATCTTATAGTCTTGATGTATTTTGGAACTCGGGGCAATGTTCCACTTCAGGAACTGCAAGCCAAGTTCCTAACTAGAACTTACTGTCATGCTTGTTCGTTCCTTGTTAGAACTCTGGTTCTCGCGAGAGAAGCTACTTTAGGTTCATTCATTATCTCTTGTTCCTCTTGAAGTCTTCCATGTTCCAACCCTTTGACTTCACCTAACAGTTACTGTCTTCACATAAACACTTAAAGAGAACATTAGATTGAAGTTTGTTTGTTATGAACAAAGTTCAAGTGAGAGAACTAATTAAACTTAAAGCTACATATGTACTCCTACACATACATGACTCATGTATACATAGGATACTTACCTCGTGAAGTTAACTTATGCAAACGCTTATTTGCATAGTTACCTTCATTTGGTCCTTAGCCATTACTATGCTTATCAACCATAACTCATCGTCGTTCTTGTTCCTTCTATTGCTTATCATATATTGCTCAAGCTCCTTATATATATACTTGTCATTGCTCGGGTTACTTGTATCTTGTTCCAAGTATAACTTGTTCTTTATATGCATAACTTAACAAACATTTTAGATAGCTAATTATCATAGTTTACAATCATCAAAACCTAATTACTCAACAAAATGTTTGGTACACATAAATGAAAATAAGAACTTTTGATATGTCTAATTTGAATCTTTCTTATATACTCCCTCTGTTCCCTTTTGTTTTTTACGTTTTCATTTTGGGTTTCCTATTTATTTTTACATAAGACATAAAATTTGGACAACTTTACCCTTGTTTTATTATTTAATATCCCATGCTGTCCTGGCCTCAATTTTGCATGTGATACTGTACTTTTAATTTCAATGTTCATTATTATTTTGTCTCTCTTCTCTCTTCTTCAACCTTTTATTTTTCATATTTTTTGGCTGTAATAATCACGTTTAGCATCTTCCCAATGAATTGTGATGACAAAAATGATTGAATTGTACTCACTTTGTTATTTTCCTAAATAACTGCACATAATTCTAAAGTAAAAACAAAAGAAAACGGAGGGAGTAGTTTGATATGATGCATCCAAGGATGTTAGGATTGGGATCCTATATTAAATCGGTGAGGGAAGTAGGATTGGATCGGTAAAATCAGATCGTAAAATTTGTAAGATCTTATGAAATTGATAAAATTAGTAATATAAAGGTTGCTATATACATACACATTTTTTAAGCTACAAAATGATAAAATTTATAGTTTAAGTAGTTGGATAGTAATTTCTAGTTTTAAAGGAATTTTTTATTGCTTTAGGCTCATTTTAATAAGTAAAAAGTAGAATCGGACGATCCCGACCGATCTTACGCGTTTCTGATCAATCCTACATGATTCTGACCGATCCTAGACAATTCAATATTAATCCAAGTGAAAAATAGGATCGTCTGATCGATCTTGCTTGCTCTGCGATTCTGCATCCGATCCGTATCGTTTACCTAAAATTGAATTGTAGGATCGCACTTTCCTACGATCTAGATCGCGATTCTAACAACAAGAACAAATACAAATTTTATATGAAATAAGGTGATCTGAAGAGTAAGAAGACTTGGTATGTCTAGCTGAATCTTTCTTTGGTACACATAAATATAAATAAGAAGATTTGGTATGTCTAATCTTAATCTTTCTTCTATAGTTTGACATGATGCAGCATAGCTAGCTCGAACAAGAACAAATACAATGTTTATTTGAAATAAGGTGAAGAGTAAGTATTTGTTTTTTTCACCTAAATAAAAATATTTCAATTAAAAAATGAAAACCCTATGTAGAGGTCCATTCGCTAATGTATTAATTCCCAAGCTTAATAGCTTTCGATCTTTGAAGAGAACTAGTTGTGCCATTGTGGCCGTGCACGATAGCTCAATAAGGTAAAATTTTGTTTAAATAATTAGTATACTTATTATTAAGTTTTTATGATGATGGTGTAATTTTTTGTTATTACTTGATATATTATTAAAATGCAATGTATATTTTGTTGTTGATGTAGATATCCAATTGAAAGAATGTTAAAGTATTAAATTATATAGTGTAAACGTTTTTGATACCTGCTTATTACGATTTAATTAATAAGTTTATGATAATTATAAGTTACATTTGTGTAATAAGTGCACTAACAAAAGTAACATGCAAACCGCTTTGAACAAAAACATATCAACGTATCTTAGACACATTACATGTTGAAGGAATGACACCGTATTATAAAGTTTAGATACCTGATCAAGCATTCTAAAAATGAGTTAAAGGTTACTAACCCTACCAAGTTCACAAACCAATTATATCAAATATTACATGTGTGATATCTAATGGTAGTTCTCCAATTGCAGAATAGAAGACTGCAGGTTCTGCCTCTGAATCATCAACATATAGCCAGTTGTAGTTGAGCTCTAGAGCAGTTAACCACATCAACTTTTTAAGTGTATACTTCTATGCATTCTTGTTCAAGCTAAACTAACATCTTATCCTTAGCTGTTTCAAGCTTGCCCATTTCATCCCATATTATCTAGATAAACTGTATAGTAGGCAAAAAGAGTAGAGTTAAATCACTGATGAAGCCACAATAATAATAACATCCTAACCTTGAAGAGCTGAAGTGCACTTAGCTTGTATCAAACCTGAAGTTCATACAAAAGAGACGCAATAGTAGTTTTAAGCTTTTAACTTGTAAGGAATGTAATCCCGTTGATGCATTCAAGATGCTGCTCAGACAACGGTATCTTTGACATAATCTATGAGCTACTATGTACAATAGGGTATGAATCTTCCAATTCTTACAAAGCATAATCATTAACTTTGGATTCTAAGAACTAAATTAAACAAGTCAACAAAGTGTTCCCTAAAAGATTTCCTTTTTCTTTCTTAATGAAGCAATGGTCATGAATTGCAATTCTACCTATTCAAATTCATGTCTTTCTCTTTCTTCCTACTACTACTCCTCCAGTACTTCCTTGTTTTATTTGTTTCTTCCTACTAATTTTCTGCTGCTTTATTTGTTCTTTCCTACTAATCCTCCGATGCTTTATCTGTTTCTTTATATCACCATCTATCACAATTACATAGCAACGATCTAGAATCAAATTTAAAATTCAATATTCAATCCACATACTAATTTTGATATCTTATTTACCCCCCAAATGTGAGGAATTTTTTCGTGGAGTTCGAAAAAATCTGAACGCTTGAACGGCTCGTTTTGATTGACCTCTCTTTTTTGGTCTATCCCCCAAAGTGTTATGAATTTTACCGTGTGGTTCGGTAAAATTTGAAACACTTAAGCGAGAATTTTCTTTTTTTACATTTATTTTTTTATCTACCCCCCAAGTGCTATGAATTTTACCGTGAAGTTCGGTAAAATTTATAGCACTTAGAATCTTTGGCTTGAATGCTATGAAATTTGATTTAGAATATTTGAATGAACAATTTTATCCGGAATTCGTATGTAGTATTTTTTAAGGCGATCATTGTTTATTAGTTGATGGATTTCATCACCACCAATATCCATTAATCTAACTGCCCCTCCTGATAGAATTTCAATTACACGGTATGGTCCTATCCAATTGGGTTTGAATTTCCCTCGTGGATCAGTTGGAGGACCCCTAACCTCTTTTAGTACAAAGTCACCTTCTTTAATATTACGAGGTCGTACCCGTTTGTTAAAATGTCGCGCAATGCGTTGTTGATAGACTTGTACATGATGTAAAGCTTTTAATCGTCGTTTGTCAAGGAATAAAAGCGCTTCATACCTAGCTCGAACCCATTCAGCTTCAGGTAGCTTACTTTCGAGTACGATGCGTAGGGATGGTATTTCCAGTTCAAGTTGAACTGCTTCCATGCCGAAAACTAAAGAGTATGGGGTTACTCCTATTCGTATGGACTTTCTATAACCCTAAAGAGCAAAGTGTAGTTTATTCGGCAGTCTTTATAATGTTCTACCCTTTTCTTAATGATGATTATTATGTTTGTAATCGCCAATTCTACTGCTCCAGTCATTCATTTGAGGTCGATATGGGGAAGAATGGTGATGTTTTACATTGTAATGAGCCAAGAGGGATTCAACTTCTACTTTGAATTGAGATCCCTGGTCACTAATTAGTTCGTGTGGAACCCCATATCTACAAAATATGTTTCGTTCGAGAAACTTTGCGACATGTTTAGAAGTGATATTAACATAAGAGGCGGCCTCAATCCACTTAGTGAAGTAGTCGATGGCTACTAATACGTACTCGTGTCCTCCCGTTCATGTTGGAGAAATTTTACCAATAATGTCAATTCCCCAAGTAGAGAATGACCAAGGGGAAGTGAGATTATATAGTTTGGATGGTAGAAGGTGTTGTAAATGGAAAACATTTGGCACTCCGAACATTTTTTGACATATTGAATGCAGTCATGTTCCATTGTGGACCAAAAGTACTCTAAACGTGAGATTATTTTAGCGAGCATTTTTCCATTCATGTGAGGTCCACAAACACCTTTGTGAGTATCCTCCATAAGGTGTGTGGTCTCGGGTTGGTCTATTCATAAATAATAAACTTTAACCATTTGATCCCTTTTTATACAATCGACCATTAACCATCCCATAATGGGCTGATAGCGTTCTTAAGACGCGCTGGTCTTTAGATGAAGTATTTGTAGGGTATGTTCCATAAGTAATATATAGGAGGATATGATCATACCAGGGGCTTTCCCCTTCGATGTTGTTTAATTCCTCTATTGCGTTGCAATAAGCTGATTCATCTCTTCTTTCAACGCATCATGGCATCATATTTAATTGATTAGTCATTGAGGCTAATTTTGCTAGCGCATCGACAAATTGATTTTCATCCCTTGGGAGATATTTAAAATCAATATAATCAAATTGCTCAATGAGTTGCTCTAGGTGTGCTTGGTATAATATCATTGTGGAGTTTTTGATTTTCCATTTTTTGAGTATATGGTTTATTATTAGACTGGAATTTCCATATACCTCTAATTTTTGCACACAGCTTCTAATCCAACAATGCACGCCTCACATTCTGCGACATTATTAGTAGCCTCTGGACTTATGAGTAACACTCCCGCACCACACCCTTTTTGGTTGGATGCGCCATCAAAGTACAATACCCATTTGTCATCTTGTGTCATGAGAAATTCTTCATTCGGAAGATGAGTGGTTTCTTCACGACTTGTTTGAAAAGGATGTTGGCCAGAAAATCGGATAATACCTTTTCTTTTATTGATTTTTCGGGAATATATTTGAGGTCGAATTCGGCCAACATCACCAACCACTTGGATATTCTTCCTTGTATGGGTGGTTGTTCAAACAAATACTTTATTGGATTGTGGTGAGAAATCACATGAGTGGTGTGGGGAAGCATATTATGTCGTAATTTTTTAGTTACCCACACTAATGCTAAACACGTTTTTTCTAAAGTGCTCTATCTTGTTTCATATAGTATAAACTTTTTACTTATGTAGTATATTGCACGTTTTATTTAATCTACCTTTTGTGCGAGCATGGCTCCTGTGGCCGTGTCCGTGATAGTGATATAAAGTCTAAGAGGTAGTTTGGGTACCGGTGGTGCTAAAACTGGAGGACTTTTGAGATAGCTTTTTACTTTCTCAAAGGCCTCTTGGCATTGGTCGTCCCATTCATGAATTTCTTCTTTTTTCAATTTTTTGAATATTGGCTCACAAGTCCTTGTCAACTTACTAATGAATCGACTAATGTACTGTAATTTGCAAAGAAACCCCCTAATTTGTTTTTCTGTTTGTGGGGGAGGCATGTCAATAATTGCCTTTATTTTCAAGGGATCGATCTCAATGCCACGTGTGCGCATTTTTGTGGGTTCAATCTCATCTTGTACTCTTTTATTCGAGTGAAGAATTTGCGTATATCTTTTGCATGACCATTCTATCTTTGGATTTTACGATCATATCATCCACATGTACCTCTATTTCTTTGTGCATCATATCATGCAAAAGAGTCATGGCCGTTCTTGCATTTTTAAGACCAAATGGCATAACTGTGTAGCAATAAGTACCCTTTTCTTCATCTTCTTTTGCCATTAGAATTTGGTTATAACTTGCGTATCCATCCATGAAGAATAACATCGCGTGTTCAGCCGTATTATCCACCAATATATCAATATGTGGCAGAGGGAAATCGTCTTTAGGACTAGCTTTGTTGAGATCCCTAAAGTGGACACACATGCGAACTCGTCCATCCTTTTTAGGGACTAGACGATGTTTACTACCCATTCGGGGTAATTACATACGCGAATGAAACCTGCGTCCAATTGTTTTTGTACTTCTTTTATTTTTAAAGCGACGTTAGGTTTCATTCGTCGAAATTTTTGTTTTACTGGTTTAGACATAGGGTTCAAGGGAATGGTATGTTCCGCAATTTCCCTATCTATTCCAGGCATGTCCTTGTATGATCGAGCAAACACATCTTCGAATTCTTTAAGCGTTGATATGAGTGTCGATCGCTCTTCCAGATTTAAGGTTAACCTAATTTTGACTTCTTTCTTGTTTTCGTTCGTTCCTATACTGACCATTTCAGTTTCTTCGATCACAGGATTCTTTTGTTCTTGTTCATTCATTAATTCAATCAATTTATTAATATCATCATCTTCATTAGATTGATTATTATAGCATTCAAAAGATTCAAGAGAAGGCATATACTCAGAAATAGAACTCATCTTATTGAAATCAAAAGAAAGTACATCAAGAGAGGAATCCTTTTTGGGATCCTCGTCCTTAAAACTAGAAAGTAAAGACTCAGTAATGGCCATAAGGCCTAAATTCTCAGCTTCCTTAAATTCTAAACTAGACTCGTCGTCCTTCCAGATTGTCACCCTTGTGGTTAGTCCACTTGAAGGTCTTCCTCCATCCATGCTCGAAGGTATTATTGAAAGGGGTGATTAATGAAGTAGGGTCGAAAGCTTCGTCTTGGATGGCATTTTGATTGGTTATGATAGCAACATGATTTTGCTTTAGTCCAAATAGCAAGTTAAAGGCTTGCCTAACGTAGCACCCTGGAGTTGGGTGTTTTGATTAAGTGACATTTAAGTCATCATTCAAAAAGTAGCAATCGTGAAAATTCTCAAATCCAAGCTTCTTATACCTTCAAGAATTAATGGTTCTGGAAAGTCATAGCATGGGTAATTCTCCCCCTCCTTCATGAATTGTCCATTGAGGGTTTGATTGTAAGATGAGAGTAAGGAAATTATCCCTTTTCTTGTTGTTCCTACGTGTCCTTATTTTGGCATCGTGAGCTTCAAGTTCTTCTTTGGTTGGCTTATATCTCAATCCAAAGGAGAAGCTTTTATTTGGGATTAGAAGTAAGATAGATTTGTTCATTCCTATTCCCAAAGGCATCCCAGGAAAGTAACTACTCTTGAACAAGATGTTTTACTATTGGGGTAGAATATGGATCAAGTTTGAAAGGTACTTCAAGATTTTCATCCATTTCTAGTGTACAGATAGCCTCCGCGACGAATCCCCACATATCTTCTTCATCATTGTCATGATTTA